GATTATATTTAAAAGAAATTTTTAAAAAATATTGATTAGAACAAAAGTTATTCCATTTGTCAGAATGTCAGATCTCTTTGGGACACCCTATATAATGTAGTAATACAAAACTTTGACGCTCTATTGTGATCATATAATACATTTGTTGATTAAGATTATACGTTTGGTGTTTTTGAACGATAAACCCCTATTAGTTCTATATTTAATATCCGGGATGAAGCACACAATATATTGGATTTTGGCGCATTTGTTCTATATCCGATTAATATTTTTTTCGATATTGTCTTGACACTAATGTATGCCTATGGTAATGGATACTTTACTGATAAAATGATAAATCTATTAATTTTACTGATATGAGAGATGACATGAATTTGAAACTGGATTTTATTTAACCACTATTAAACGATATTTTGTCCATATGACCATATATAATATATTATAGAAATTTCATTTCATATCAATAGTTGTCTCATCTGCATTAGCTAACAGCTTTCTATTGATAGGCCTTTTTTTTTTTTTTAAATAACTTTTTACGGTAGGTACATCAAAACTATCCGATTTTCTACTAACATACTATTGTATATATTACATTTTACTTATGATCGTCACTGGTGTTGAGAAACTCAAAAAACGTGCGTAATTTCGTAGTTAGAATTTCAGAATAGAATTAAACGGTGTTCTTTTTTTAGATAATTTTACTGTAAATGTAAGAAGTGTGTCTAATCTGCACATTAAAATAATACCTATAGGAACAACATAAACGTACCTACATAATAATAATTGGATAAATAGATGCACAATATACGATTTCACTAAAGCCCACAGACATAAATGCAGAACAAACGTGGTTTTTGATCGCATCATGACGACAACAGAGCACAGAGTAAAGGAAATTATAAAATTTATGCACTACATTGTCGTGCAATCTGTTTTGCAAAAAATAGAAACCATTTACAGTCAAAGAAATTCTCAACCTCAAATATAATAATATTATAGTGATTTTACCTGTGGGTACATGGAATTTAATTATTTAGGGTGTTAGCAGTGCGCGTCTAGTCGTCTACATCGCCGACGGGCACACGTGATATTATTTTATTATAATCATGGTGTAAGGACACGCGGCGAGTAGAAGGGCATGAGGAGCAATTGTGATGTTATTGGGGTAGGTAGAAGTAGGAATTATAAACTTTGTAGGTACATTAAAAAAAGTTATTTCGTTTAGGAAAAAAGCCGAAAATGACGTATCCAAAGTCACAAGTACCAAATAAAATAGAAATATGTAAAAAGAAATAATAGTATATCGTATTAGGTAGTTATATAATATAAAATACGTACACTCCATTCACCCAAATGCTCATAGACGGCTCGGGATGCATGCCGGCGGCGTAGCACGTGATGTTGATTTCAGTCGGCCACTTTTTCGGGCCAGTCGACGGGGCGCTGCTACTCGTCGGCTCTGCCGGTGTCGTGAAATTCACATCGCCGCCACTGCCTTCTGCGATATCATCTTCGTCATCATCGTCGTTATCGTCCACGGATATTTTGAAAATTCGTTCCGGTGCTAAAAAATAATTATAATATTAAAAAAATTAATAATCAAACTACAATAAATTCTAACTTAAATTTCGTATTTTAAAATTCTGAGACTTTTATTAACTGATCCTGTTAGTTAATTTCAGAGAAAAACACAAGCTCATTTATTCACTGTAAATTGTAAATCGAGTAGTTTTTTTTATGAATTCTTTAACTTATCTGAAATACATCGCAATATGATATAACAATAATCATTAGATCAACGTAATTTGTCTACAAATTCGAGAAACGTGATTTTTTAGTTAATCATGATGATTAGCTATGTAATGGGAAATATTGATGATAATAACGAACTTCATTAGATATGCCGGATATTTATTAATTATGATTATGCTATTCATCGGTGTCTGATCGAGTCAGGTTTAAACGAACCAAAATTCTATATGCGCGAAAACTGGTAGTAATTGTTGTAACTTCTACCTAGCAGTATAGTTGAGTTACAGGCTTTAAGGGTGTCTGCGCTTGCCACTGCTAGCCTATTTCAATAATAAACCTTGTGCTTGCCGCGGGGATGACAAGTTGTGAAACAGTTAACGTTTTGGAAATGCTTCTTGTAAAAACAAACAAGTTATAACTAATATAATAATAAAACGCCGTTTTAGATTTTAACAGATTCCTTCCATCATGGTGTTTCAATTAATAATATTTAACTCAATAAAGTTAGCAGCACACTCACATCATGTGTCTGTCAAAGTTGTGCTCTGATAACTTTATGAGGGTATATTATTTGGGATTCATGTGAACATCTGGTGTATGGTGAAAATTACCTGTTTGATATTTTGGTGAATATACGTAGATTATGACCGGTAAATACTTAACGTTATTTTTTGTATTTAATTTATCGGACCATAATAATATTTATAGGTATCATATTATAGGTTTTATGCTTGCATGTATTAGAACCATTAGTCCTTATACCATATTCTAAACTTATTATTATAGACTATTGTCCTTAGTAAATAAAGATTAATAACTCGTTGCTTGTTTAAATTTAAATCAAACTAACATGTTCCAAAAAAGACATTTACCACCATTTCATAGCAATAAAAAAATAAAAAATAATTTAATAAGGATAATTCATAAGTGTACTGATTAATTCAAAATATCAGATTTTGAATAAATTTACAGTTAAAGCATAAATTCAGAGTTGAGCGTGTTTGGTGAATCACTCTATATAATACATTATACGTCTTGACGTAAAAAGTGTTATTTATATAATATTGTTTATAAAAATTCTCTCTCGTGGACTAAGTCCCGTGGTAAAATACAAAGTTTACAAATCTGAACGTATACGTTAGAGTTGTGCACTTGTACAGTTGTACCTTTATAATATAAATGTTACAAATATGTAGATTTCAGGAATTTCCATAAAATGCAAATTTACGATTATAATATCATATTTTTTAAATGACAACGACGAGCTGTTCTAAAACCCAATAGGACTTATATCCTATACTTATCCCTCATGCGCACGGTGCACGCACATCACTTGTTCGTGGGGTATTATTCAGTGTTTTTAATAGTCATTTGTTTGCGTAGGTAATGATGTGTGTATAAATAAATAATCCTCATATATATATATATATATATATATGTATGTACAATATTAATCTATGTACTGTGCAAGAATTAACATTATACATAGGGAGTAGATACGGACGATACGGTACATATATTATAATATTGATGTATAAGCAATAAATAAATATATTATACGTATATATGTATATTATGTGCATCATAAAAATATATATCATATGTTCTCGTACAATTTCCATTTATTCGTGATGGTTGAATAAATATTATATTGTAATTATACTTATACTGCAGAATTTCGCACTTAAATCCTATGATCTAAGATTTTCCCCTTTCCTGTACAGTAGGTACTATGCAAAACCAAAGACGCATAGACGATCGTGAAATAAATTTTCCAAAATTACACTAATACATGCACTTTAATATGATATACCTATATATAGTACCTATACCTAGAGAGAGTAAAATTTGTTTACTCCGTTTATTTGTTTTGATTTAACGGTGTTTAACAATAATGAATTGTCTGCAGTTTGGCGTTTTTAAAATGAATACATGATATTATTCGTACCGTACTAAAGCCTAAAGGTATAATGAAAATTATTTTTCAAAAATAAATTATCCCGAATAATTTTAATGTTAAATATACACACAGGCTACACTATATATATATATATATATGCATACTTAAACCAATTATATACGAATATAACATTATTTATATACCTGAATAGCCGCATAGGTATTTTGCTATCTGCTTACTAGCTGTCGTGTAAGTAAACATTGGGGTCCGTTGTTTTTTTAGCATATTATAATATATTACACCGAAAGAAAGAGTGAAAAGAGTATTTTTCTGCAACGCACCATTAGGGTTGGTTTGTGAAAACAGCATACGTCATAGTCTTGTTTGCGGAACACGTACGAAAAAGAAAAATGTATACAGAAAAAAAAAAGAAAACACATAAGTTGATCGGTGGGGATTAAATTGACCGATTCATCTGCTACAGTGTGTACAATATTATATGCGATGGGCAGGTAACTTTATAATAAGCGATGAGCAATAACAGCTGAAACGTGTCCAGAAAGTTTGGGGAGACGCTAAATTTCCAGCGTAAAGTCAACCAGCATATTATAACAGCAGCTGTGGGTAACTATACATATGTGCAGTTTTGTATGCAAATATATTTATATATTTATGCATAAGACGAATGGTTAATTAAATTAATCTCGGAGTATTATCACTTAGTTATAGACACCATACGATGCACGATCAACCATCAGGCCGAATTAATCTTGAGTTTCCGGAAACTTTCTAGACAGATCTACGCTGTGCAATGCGTAAACCAAAATGTATATTTATATGTATTTACAGTTGTAGGTACTTGTAATGGCAAACATAATATAAAGTAACGGAGGTTCAGAAGCTACAAGCTGAGTTTTGCACGCAATATCCAATATTATATATGCATGTATTATGTATATTGTGTTTGCATAATGTATGTATGTGCTGATTGTGAGTGTGCATGATGTACAAACAGGACTCGTGGGGTGATGTGCACATGACAACGCCAGACATTTTCCACAAGACGTTTACTTATACGTCACAGACATTTCTGCAAATCCTATTTTATCTCATAAATATAATAAAATAAAATATTATATTTTATAGCCTATAAATAAATAAATAATAATTTATAATATTTTATATTTATTTATTATTAATTATTGATTTATTATTATTCATTATAAATTTAAATATATATATATTATTTTTGGTGCTGCTGGAATGAAAGGTTGCCACGCAATTATATGTTGGTTAATAATTAATAAATAATTGTGAAGCTAAAATCCCGTCACGGGCATATAAATATGCAAAAATCTATAAATGTAGATTGTCTGTTTGTGAATAGTTAGATAGGTACTTAGAAAATATTTATAACACACCAGTATACTTACAATAATTATCAAACAATATTACGCACCTAGTAATTATCTGTTAATTTATAAGATTCTATATAATTATATAAGTTGAAATGCTTTGATATTAATACATTGAACTTAAATAATTTTGTTTACCTAGTTTACCTATTTTGTTTAGATACCAATTAAATCCGATGTTCTTACAAAAATCACCCCAAAGTTGATGAAAGATGCATTTCTACTGCATGCTCCAAAAACTCAAGTGGCACTAAAAACAACAACACATATATTATCGTTCTAAAACGAATGCGTTCATCGTATCGTTGAAAAATATAAAATATGGTTGGTTCACCAGTTTATTGAAAAATCGCCAGAAATACTACAAATTACAGAATGACTTCACCTCAATCGACGACCACCAGAGGAAAAATAAATTAAACTATAACATCCTTTGTTTTGTAGGCCAGTCACTATATAGTTGGGCTACGAGCTGTAATAATGCTGTAAACTATCTGTAAATTACCAACAGTTGCGTTCCCAAAACGATTCCAGTTTTGCGGTTTATCTCGATTTTCCTATTCAATAAGCGTTTAGAAGATTCTCAAATCACATTTTTTTTTTTTTGTAAATTTCATTTTTTTTTTTCATGTTCAAGAATTAGGCTATATGGTCTTATGGATTCTTAAATTAAGTTATATTAAACGCAAGTTTTGTTTTCAAATTTCAGAGAATAATGAACTCTATGTTATTATTAAATGTTTTAATATTACTCGCGTTATCACCGCGAATTCCAATCCAAACATTTTAAACGATGCTTGTACGGATAAAATATGAAGTAAACATTGAAAATAATCTAATAAACAGAATACGAATGAAGTAAAGTATACCCAAAGGCCGAAATTAGCTTTTACGTTTCTAGTTAATCATTCATACAAATATCTATGAATAATAAATATAATATTATGTATAATAAAACGCACAATGGGCAGGTGGGTCAAATTTCCCAGAGCCAAGTGAAAACTTCATTATCCTCTAGTTATAATTTTGTTATACCACACTCGAATTAATTAGGACAAGCCAAAAATCATCCCTTCGTGGTATAAAATGAAATGAGACGTGTTTTTTTGTTTTTTTTACGGATACCTAGTACACCATCACCTACAGTTTTTCCGGCTAAAATCTATACACAAACAAATATATCACAACGTCATCACATTCTATCGTTTATATAATATTATCGTATAAAATTTTACAGTATACGGCGTAGTCTATAAAAAATACGCTCAAATCCGTTCGAGTGTATAATAATATTACTATATAATATCAACCAGCGATGCGGCCGATCGATTTCCACTATCCGGTTTGCCTGTACACGCGTACAAATGACATCTTCGTCGCGCACAATTACGCACTGCCGGATTTGGAAAAATTTGCTCAACGTGGCAGCTGTGTCGGACCACCTCCGCCTAGCCTCTATTCAATACCGTCATGTACTATTATACACGTTTATCGTTT